ATATTTATGTCTTTCTCCTTTTTTCCAATCACGCATCCCTGAACCCTTTGTCATCGAATTCCCAGTAAAACATTTCTTTGAAAGGTCATAAATAATATACTAAATATTGGGATAACCCACTCCAGGCCCCCTCTTGTTCTCTAGAGAGATTTGTTGCTTAATAAACTCCTTCTTTCACTCAAATAATAATAATAGTAATATACTAAATATTATATTCAACAGGCGTGTCTTCATCCTCAAATTTTTGACCTGTCTGTATCATTTGACACTATCGATCACCTTGCACTTTTTGAGAATTTTACAAACGGTGGCTCAATGACATTGTACTCTCTTGATATCACTTTTACCTCTTTGAGCCTTCTTTGCTATCTCTTTGACTTCTTCACTATTTTCCATAGGTAATTGACTGCAAAGCAGTGTAACGTAGTCTAAAGTGCCTGTAGTATCTTTTTTAACAAGCCAAGGACCTTAAGAAGCTTTAATCAAATGTAATGACTATCCTTCTTCCCCTTTTGCTGTATTATCTAGAGTGTTTTCTCACACACAAGTAAGAAATCATCTTTAATAAGTAAACTTTTGGTTGTATTTTATCAATTTCTGTGATTATTGTTTTCTCCATGCCATGGTTTCTCATTGGATTTACTAATATTACAGAAGCATGGACTGCAGTAATAGTTTAGAGAGGTCAACTCCCTTTGGTCTTTATGTCTGAAAATATCTTTATATGGCTCTTTCTTGGGATACACAATTTTAGGCTTAATATACACTTCTAGGTTTATTTATTGATTTTTCTCTTAGCATCTGGAATATATTATTCCATTCCCTCCTGACGTTTGGAATTGCCCATCGTAAGCTGGGTCCCATCAGATGTTCCAACTCATAAAGTCAGACAGCCTGTCAGAACTCCATCAAAAGATGATAATAGGCAGGTAAGCCAGACCTCCATGCCATCAATGGTCATGTGGGGTGACCGTACAATTAGCTAAAAAGACAGGAAAAAGCCTGAGCTGTGATGGATAGTTTGAGCTGTGATGGATAGGTGTAGTTTGAGCTGTGATGGATAGGAAAAAGCCTGAGCTGTGATGGATAGGTGACTGTACAATCAGCTAAAAAGACAGGAAAAAGCCTGAGCTGTAGGCCATGGATAGTTTGGCTTGAGATGCAGGTGCCAGTCAAAAATGAAAAGCAGTTGTGACACATCACTCAGGATGTCAATGGATGGCAATGGCGAAGGAAGATTTTCCCACAGTGTGAAGCTACGAGCAGTGCACCTACAGATCCACTCTGTGTGGCACTCTATAATTTCCTTAAGGCGGAAATGTGTAAGAGTCTGCTTTGAATTCTCCTTCTCATCTACTCTAATGAGTCAGTACCCTTTGTTTTAAGATAACATAACACTTAGTCATGCTACTTAGGCCAAAAAAAGGAATTTCATGATAAAGGTACAGGAATGTTTTATAGACCTTCAGGGCAGGAATTAAACCAGGCCTACGAAAAGTCTAGAAACAGAGACTAAAATCTCTTTCTCCATCTCACCTCTGTTCCTCTCTGAATGTATGACTTCCTTCCTGTCTCTCCTCCCCACTCCCACTTTTCCTGCTTCCCTAGTAGAAGTAATATGTGGAAAATGGCCCATCTATATCTCTCAAGGGCGCCAAGGGTGTTGAAAATATGTATACACATTTTAAGAGATATGTGATCAATGTGTTACTTTTTGAAGTTGAATTGAATTATGGTAGCAATGTGTAGCATGATGTTCACTCAAAAGATGGCATTAATTAAATGAATGCCAGCATCACTATGCAACAGGCAGGACAAAGAAAATGGCAGAAGCACGCTTGTCATTCGAGGAGGGCAAGATCATTTTGATGTGGTGTTTGAACTCTGAGAATGATGTGGAAGTACAACAAGATGGAAGTGGAGTCTGCAACAGGACCTCAACACACCTAGCAATTGTGTGTATTCATGATAAGTTTAAGACACGTGGAATTATGTGTTGTGTGCACAAGGGATGATCCCAGAGGCCTCACACAGCAACAACTCCTGCAGTAGTTTGCTGTTATCAGTAGTGTCTGGACCCTGATGGTAAACACTTTGAGTATCTCTTGTAATTGCAGAAGTCAAACATGACTTGTATTCATCTTTTGTTATGGGTATCTATTGAGTGTTACAATTTTAATACAGTTTTTCATTGCTTAAAATGCATATACCTCTTTTTTGGTATCCGTATACACATTTTAAGAGATGTTATCTGTGTATTGCTTTTTGAAGTTGAATTGAATTACAGTAGCAATGTGTAGTATGATGTTCGCTCAACCATGCTTCCAACCTGTGGTATGGTGATGCTAGCATTCATTTGATTAATGCCATCTTTCAAGTGCACGCCATACTTAAAATGTGTACACATTATTTGTATACCTAACCCTGAAATGTACCCCACAATTTTAAAATAAAAAAATTTTTTTAAGTTAAAAAATATATACATTTTATACACACACACACACACACACACACACACACACACATATCTTATATATGAAGGGTAAGGACCCCAGGAAAATTAGAAAAGATCTTGATAAAAGAATTCTAGCAATAGTGCAGCCATTTTATCTTCAGCTCTAGCCCTATTTCACATTTCTTTAGCAAAAAGCAAAACTGCACTCCCAAGGTTAAAACCTGGTAGTTATTCCAAGCCCCTTGAGCCTATCCAGGCCTAATTAGTCTTCTAGGAATCTGTGCTTTTAACCCTGATGTATCGTTATTAGATCACTACAACTGGCCTCCAGCCCACCACCTGGAGTCACGAGATACCAGTGCCTGGTGATGTCAAGACACAAGACTTATGTGACTTCTGTTATCTACATCAAAAAGTGCAACCTTAAACACTCTCCTTAGCCAAAACTCCTCCCCAAGAGCTTTAAATGTACCCAGTTCCTCTGTCTTTGAGGTCACACTTGCCTATTGAGTGCTGGTCCCTTTCTGTCTGTGAAAAGTGGATAATAAACTTTACTTCTCTATCACGATCTTGCATTATTCCACTTTGCCTCAGTTTACCCTTTCCATATATGTATACTACATATATATGACACACATGTATGTGTGTGTCATTATCCAGCCATCTGAGGGACTACATTTTTGAAATTTGGTGTATAGGTTCTCATGTCAAAAATTCTAACTCACTCCGCTTTCATGAGATGCCTATTCTTGGTCCAATCAACTTGGTAAAGTTAGTCATCTTATTCAGAATGGTTGCTGATTCAGGGAGATCTGGATCATTATGAGTGGAACAATAGATATATTCTGTTATCCTCAGTCATCCTCCCAGTTATTCAAACTGAAAACCTCGTAAGTCAGTTCATGTTTATCCTCCTCTTTTATTTACTATACGGTTCTGTCAAAGAACGAATTCATTTGCTCTCAAAACTATTGTTTTATCTAGTCTATCTCCGTTCCCAAAGACTTTATTACTTGCCAAAATGATAGTTCAAAAAGGAATATTCCACTGCAGTTAAATTTGCATTTCTTTCACGACTACTGAGGATAAACTTTTTTTAAAAATGTGACTGGTTATTAATATGTCTGCCTTATTGGTTTGTATTATGGACTAAATTGTGTCCCCCGCCCCCCCCCAGATTCATATGTTGAAGAGCTAATTCCAATGTGACTGTACGTTATTTGGAGATAGGGCCTTTAAAGGGGGAATTAAAGTTAAAGACATAGGAAAAGAGGGGAGCTCTAGGAGGAGACACCATGGGTGGTGAGGACACAGCAAGCAGGCAGCTGTCTGCAAGCCAAGAAGAGAGGCTTCAGAAGAAACCAGACCTGAGGATGCCTTGATTTTGAACTTCCAGCCCCCAGAACCCCGAGAAAACGAATTTCAGCATCAAAGCTTGTGCTGTTTTTTGTTATGGCTTCCCTAGCAACCTAACACATTTTGCTTCTGTGTTCATTCTTCATTTTTCTTTCTGGATGTTTGTTTCTTTTGGTAAAAGCTCTCCAAATATTAACACTCTTAGCCCTTTATACACAGTAAATGTCACAAATATTTTTCCTAATTCACTTTCCCCTCCCTTCACTTATTTTGGTTTTGTTTTGCTTCATATACTGACATTCTTTTTAGTACAAATTTTCCAAACATTTCCTTTATGGTTGCTGCATTTTAAAGTATACTTAAGAAAGGCCTTCCCACCCCCAGAATTATATTTATAATTATCTACATTTTCTTCCAATTCTTTTTTTTTCTTTTTGGTCTCACTTGAATATTATTTTCAGTGTATGATGTAAGATACAGACTTCTTTAAATATAGCTTACCAATTTTTCCTGTATGTATATTTCAACCATTTCTCCCAGTGATGTGAATTATTTTATCATATCCTAAATACTTACACCCACTTAAAACTCTTAGTGCTTTCAGCTCATGACATTTATTCATTCAGTAGTTCATTCTGGAGTTATATTCTTCTACATTCACCATAAGGGGGAAAGAATTTTCCACTAAGTTTAAGAAACATTATTTGGGGTGTCCTGCATCATAAAGATGATGGGGGGAAAGTTTGTAAAGTTGGTTTCTAAGTTAAAACACCATTATATAATTGTTCTCCGCCAACAATAAACAAAATAAACATATACAAAATTATGTCAACGCACTGAAGAGCCAAACGAAGGGTGTGTGTGTGGAGGGGGGACCACCCAATTTAGTTGCATTACCCCACCAACCAAAAAAGAGAAGAAAAACGACAGAGAGGAAACCAAATGAGGACTGTCCGCTGGCGTCTTCGGGTTCCTCTTTCTTGTCCCCTTTTAAAATCAGTTGTTCAGAATTCTTGTTTCTCCCTCAGTTCTCTGGATAAAATTCAGGTCTAATGGGGGATGAGCGAGGAGGGTTATTTTTTTTTTTTTTGGATGCAGGATTTATTGGGAGGACAGGAAAGCTCCCCCAAGTGGGAGGGGACCCAAAGGGAGTGCCTTTGGAGGGCTGCTTTCGCAAGGTTTTGCAACGATGACTGTTCGGCGGTCAGAAGCGAGCCCACGATGGGGGAGGCTGAACTCCAGGGACGGGGGTCGCCCAGATCTCAGCTGGCAGACCCGGAGAAGTCTGTGGGGCCCGCGGCCCAAGCCACGTGCAGACGCAACGTCGAGGCCGAGGACACCAAAGCCGGGCTGCTGTCATGGGGGACCTAACCCTGGCCCCACGGTTTCCTTTCTGCTCTCTATGGGCACCTTCGGGCACAGAGACAGCGCGGAAGGGCGAGGCCGCACAGCCTGCCCGAGGCCGCCCGAAGCTCTGGGCCGACCGCGAACACGTGGCCCGCTC